CTAGCTCATGAAGCCATTTTTTCTTCCACAGATAAGAATGCGACAATACCTAGAGAAAGCTAGCAGATTTCTATTTACAATAAATCACTGACTTCTCTATTGTTCTTCTGAAATCTCTGAGTTTCTACCTTCTCTTCCCTCAATTTTTTTTATTTCACAAGTCAATGCTGATTTTATGATCTCATTCCACAATTAGCCCTATAAATTCCCTGATCCTTCACTTGTTTATTTCCTGAAGCATTTAATTATTGTTAACTTTTCATTAAACTCAGCTTTTTTTCCATTTCAGCCACCTCCTGCCTACACAGCTTATCTTATTTTCAAACATATGTGAAGTTTCCTGATCAAAAAGATAATATAGAGCAGAACAGCTGGGTTGTTACAGTATATTTTATTACTGACAATTTCTCCCTTTAACATTTCACAACAACAATGTAATACAATGATTATGCTGGTGATAAATACTAAAATGAATTCACAGATAAAACTACATATATTTGTCTGAGATTACGAAGGGTTATAGTTTACTTTGTACAAAAGTAAAGATGCAGCATTCTAGCAGTAAATGTTTTTAATAGAACATAAAACTGTGAAGTATGTTATTACAAAGCAAGCTTTATATGTAATATATGCCTTGAAGTAAAAACGTACCTATGGAAAACCTGGATTGGATTTTTTTCTTTCCTCAAGGTTATAGCAAAAATTATACCCAAGATAATCCATCCTTAATTATCTGTGGTATTTGCTGACCTTTGAAATTTAATTATAGAAGGAAAATGATTTCAAGTTGTCTGTATCTCTTACATCATATTCTGATACCAATAGCATCCATGTAAATTCAGAACTTCATTAATTTTACATTAACAGAGATAGAACTTTGATCAATCTACTATAGTACAAATTATATAATTTCATTATCTTCAAACCTAGTTCCTCACTGTCATTTAGTTTCTTCATTATTCATTAGCAACACTTTATTTTCATTAAAATCTTAATAGCATGCATAGAAGTAACCCTCCAAAAAGACCTCCATCAAAAATGCTCAGTTGTTTTCCTCAGCAGTCTTCCTGCACTGCCTGAAATAAGAACACTATGGTATATCCTCAATTGCACATACATGGAAAGATAGAACTGTAATATGTACTTGAAGTACACAGACATACTAAGATGGTTTCCAAAGTAGTGGTTTAAATATAAAAATTAGATAAAAATTAGAGAAGAAATTAATGTAAGTATACTAACAAAGTTTACAGATGAAATACACCAAATTTTATTTTATCATATATATCTGTAGGAAGGCAAGATGGATTAATACATTATCCATCATGCTGGACACAGCTGACTACTAGAATATTATTCTATTCTATTCTATTCTATTCTATTCTATTCTATTCTATTCTACTCTACTCTACTCTACTCTACTCTACTCTACTCTACTCTACTCTACTCTACTCTACTCTACTCTCTACTCTCTTCTATTATTAATATAAAGAGCCATGGTGGCACAGTGGTTAGAATGCAGTACTTCAGGCTAACACTCTGCTTACTCCAGGAGTTCAATTCTGGAAGGCTGAGTCAAGGCTGACCCAGCCTTCCATCCTTCCGGGGTTGGTACAATGAGGACCCAGATTGTTGGGGGCAATATGCTAACTCTGTAAACTACTCAAAGCGGGCTGTAAAGCACTATGAAGCAGGGTGGATTTGATTTAAATCGAGTTGATTTAAATCACAATTTAAATCATGATTTAAGTCACTAGTAAAAAGGCTTGATTTAAATCAACTCGATTTAAATCATAATTTTTAAAGAGCAACTGTCATCTCTGCTACTCCTTTGACCCACTGTTGACTCACCTATAATCCCAGTGTTGCAGAATATACAGCCTCATACTACATAACTAAGCTCCATTTCATGCTGAATAAACTAAATTATTTATGTATCTTAAATAGAAAACTATCTTACGATAGATTTTTACCCCAAAAGTTTTTTATTAAAATAAATTCAATAAAAATCAAAAAAATCCAATTTAAATCAAAAAAATCTGATTTTTTAATTTTTTTAAAAAAAATCATTGATTTTTATCCACCCTGCTATGAAGCAATATATATATTTAAGTGCTATTGCTATAATACCAAATTACAGAGACAGAACAGGACAAAAAGTGTCGAACTACCATGACCCATATGAATGACAATATACAATAAGAGTGGGATGGCTGGTTGTCCTTAGATCCCTTTTCTTAAGGAACATCCATTTTCAGAGACTGCACAACAAGCTGTCTCAGCTGTTTCTTTGGAACAGCAAAACTGGTAAGATTAAGTTGGTTCCAATTCTACTGGTTTTGGAAAGTAATTAAAACTTGATTCTTTTGTGAAACTTTGGACTAAATTTATTTGGTTACAGCTGTTTCTTCAGACTTTCTTTTTTTCTGTTTGTTTTATTATGGTTTGATTTTAATGTTTTATTTTGTTTTTAATTTTATGATACTTTGAGCCAATTAAAAAATGAAACAGAAAAATTGTCCTGGAATTGTCGAAAGTTGTGAGTTTTCACCTAGTCAAGGTTCTAAAGAATTTAGGTAACAATTAATAGAACGATAGCAAAGCAAGAAATAATGTGTTTAAACACTTGGATGTTTAAATGTAGCATGTTGTTCTGGAGGTGACATGCTCAGAAATAAGAGTTATATCCCATCAGAGCTTTAGAATGAATAATTTTAGTCAGTCTAGAAACCAGGGGTGAAATGCTTCTGGTTAGGACTGGTTCGGGCTAGTAGGTAGTGATGGCGGCGGGCAGTTCGGAGAACCGGTAGCAAAAATCCCTGCCCCCGCCCCCCCCATGCCCAGCTGAGCCGCACGATCATCAGAGCCTTTTTTTTCTTTTAAATGGCTCTGACCAGCCAAGCTCTGATGATCCCAGCTGAGTTGCCTGCTAATCGGTAGCAAAAATCCTTCCCCCTCCCCCCCTCATCTTGCTTACCTTAGCTGCTGGTCACAACGCCTTGCTGTAATCCCTACAATCCATTGCATCAGCAAGCAACTGAATCTCCCTGCCTGCAATCAAGCAGGCAGGGAGTTGTGGACTTCAAGTCCCAGAATTCCTCAGCCAGCAAAGCAAAGCTGGCTGAGGAATTCTGGGAGTTGAAGTCTACAAGTCTTAAAGTTGCCAGGGTAAATTTTTTTCCCTTTGGGAGCTTTAAAAAAAAAGTTAATTGGGGTTTTTTTTGTTGTCGTTGTTCTTTTTTTAGACCTAGCCATTTAAAGTTTAGGAAGTTTTAAATTTAGCTGCTTTTATATAAAAATTAAAATAAAATAAAATAATATTTGTGCAGCTTTCTGAGATTTAGTGTGTTTCTGTAGTGTTTCACTCTAACTATACAAACACACAAAATCTCACAAAGCTGTATGTGTAAAGTGTGAAAGTTGGTTTTTTGGGGCTTTTTGTGGCTGTGTGAGGTTCCTGCTTGTTGCAGGAGCCATTTTGGGTCTAGCACAGCTGCTTTTACATTGTGGGTGAGCCAGTTGTGTTGTGTTGTGTTGTGTAGGTTAAAAAAGGTTAAAGAAGTGACATTGACTTGGCCACGCCCACCTGACCAACAAGCCAGACCCTCCCAGTCACCTTACCAAGCCCCGCCCACTCATTAAGCCCCACCCACAGAACCGGTAGCAAAAAAATTTAGATTTCACCCCTGCTAGAAACCCATTTTAATTTGAACTCTGGTTTGCCAAAGTTCAAAGATCTGTTCTCAGCAAGACCTCTAATTCCACAAACTTTGCATATTTAATTATCATTAATTGAATTAGGAAAAGTATGTATGTCAGGTGTAATAATAATGAAGAAATCTTCAGTTTAAAATGAAAACCTAAGCCTTTAGAGAAAATGCATTGTTTAGAGGGTTCTGGGCTTCAGAACCATTTATGAAAGAGCAACTATTATTTCTGTGCTGGTTTATGACATATTTATTTATGTTAATTTCAAAGTTGCTTATTGTCTTCATATCCTCTAACAACAACCTTCCTGCTCTTTATCAGCTTTCTTCATCTGTTTTCTTGAAATCTGGAAACAAGTCAGTTTATAGAATTTTTAAAAGCAACTTAAGCAATCAAAAATAAAACAAAAAAATATATTCCCAACACCCATAAAAAGTTTGCTTAGCTATTTATAAAAGTCATCAGTTTTTAAACTGCTATTACTCACTTGGTTAGAATTACATTTAAACACTGGCGATAATGGCAATTATTTCCTGTTTCATGTACATAAATTGATAATTTAGAAAGTGAACAACAGGATATGCATAAAACTAAAAAAAACTTTAAAATTCTTTTCAAATTTATAACACATAATACTAATATATTAATATAATTTGATTGCTATAATTATTTCCAAAGACTAATGTGTCACAGACTATTTTTATCTTAAAGGCAGGTTATTTAAAAATAATTTATTTTTAAAATGTGACACCATTTTTAGACTCAAAAAGACTACAATAATGGAAATAGACTTAAATTCAGGGTTGTCTTTCTTCAAAATCCTTCTGGTTTGAGGCTGTCAAAGCTCAAACAATAAGGCCAGAAATATGAACAAGCTATGACCAGAATTTTCAATTTCCCACTAAGTTGCATCTATTCAACTTATTGAAAAGGGCAAGGCTGATTTTGGAATGCTTGTCCTACAAGATTCAATCCCACATATCCCTAGTTTAAAAGAGCATAGCACTAAAAATATTAGAGGATTAAAAATAGTGGAAAAAATGCAGAGTACTTTCAACTTGTACAAGTTGCTCATTCTAATAGTTCCCATGAAATAGTTAATTGCATGAAAATGAAAAGTCCATTATTAAAAGGAAGCCCAATTTACAATATGGTATTCTATTAGAGTCACTCATAAAATCAAGGCCAAGAACTGCTTCATGATGTTCTGTGCCTATAGATGCTCATACTGAATTGTGTATCATGTTCTCTGAACAAGAAAAATACTACATCCATTAATTCTTTATTATGCTACAAAATTTGGTCAAGGAGTCCCCAAGGAGAAATTATAGCTGCTTGCCTTTTCAAATCCTGCAACTGAGTCTGCTGACCTAAATAAAAGTGCTTATCTTACCATAGTGAAATGCCACTAAAAGGGTTACTAAAAAGAGGAAGTCAAACATAACAATATTGCAAAAAGCTAATAAAAGGGTCACGCCTTTTCAGAGACTTTTAAAGCTGAGCTAGATTTTTTTTCCACTCTACTTTTTCAGAAATTGATATCAACTTTCAGAACCTACGTAGTTCATACCAGGTATTATTGTTTTCTCATCATGATGATAGAAGTGAAAGCTATTCTATTCGCTGAATATCCCAAAGAATCACCATCATAAATTGATCCAGAAAAATATACATTTCTATACTGAAACTAAAAAGTAAGGGTTCTATATATTTCAAAAGCGAACCATCTTCTAGATGTTATACTATACTTCATTTTATTATTCTGAACCCATCTTAATGTTGGAAAGAAGTTACATAAAGAGGCTCATGATTATGCCCATTCATCAGCAGGATTAGTTTCAAAAACAGAACAGGAAGTAATAAGAATTTGGTGAGATGGGAGAAGCCAGCAAAAGAAAGGTCAAGTTCGAAAACAGCTTTTTTACAATTTATTTTTATTTTATTTATTTTCATCAAGCATGTATTAGATAATAGATACAAGTATAAACATTATTATGAATACATGGAATAGATATGAATAAAAGAGAACATTAGGACTGGGACAGTAGGCACACTGGTGCGCTTATGCATGCCCCTTAAAAACCTCTTAGGAATGGGGTGACGTCTACAGTAGATAGTCTAAGGTTAAAGTTTTGGGGGTTTGGGGAAGAAACCATAGAGTCAGGTAGTGCATTCCAGGCATTGATAACTCTGTTACTGAAGTCGTATTTTCTGCAATCTAATTTGGAGCGGTTTACCGTAAGTTTGAATCTATTGTGTGCTCTTGTATTGTTTTGGTTGAAGCTGAAATATTTGTTGACAGGAAGGACATTGTAGCAGATGATTTTATATACTACGCTTAGGTTGGACTGAAGACGGTGAAGTTCTAAATTGTCTAAGCCCAAAATTTCATGTCTGGTGGCATAAGGTATTTTCTTGCGAGCAGAGGAGTAGAGTACTCTTCTCGTGAAATATCTCTGGACTCGTTCCATTGTATTAATGTCTGATATGCAGTGCGGATTCTAGACAGATGAGTTGTATTCAAGAATTGGTCTAGCAAAAGTTTTGTATGCCTTAGTTAGCAATTTTCTCCCCAAAAAATAAATAAGATCCCCTGGAGCATCCCTATAGGATAACCAGACAGATGTGCTTGAAAAGCATCTAACTGTTCCATTTTAAGCACTCCTCAATCTTGTTCTCATGATTCAGAGCAGAGTGTGCAACCCACCCTATATTTCCATACACACACGCACACAAACAAACACACAGCACAAGAACCCGGTTATACACAATATTTAAAGCCCCATCTTACTCAGACCCTTACATATACCTATATAAGTCTAAATGCTCTGTTATACAGACACACCACAGGGAAAATATATATATTAGCAGTCTCAACAATCTCCATTTATATTTTTTAGCAGCCATTTAAGAACAAAATCACAAATCAGAGTCATCCACGTACTGTATAATCTGGATTAAAACAAAATACTCTGCATAGGATTAAAACGTGAACCGAAGTTGAATAAATAAGTGAAGGATTGTTTTTTGATAGATTAAGCCTTAATTTACAATATTTGGAAAAAAAGTATCCATACAGTCACATAATCCAAGATCACTTTTATATGCGACCTTTGTAAATTTAGGTTCAATTTTGATTCAGGCACAAATTGAAGGAGTTCTCTATTTATTAGTGTTTGCTGCTGCTGCACAACAGTCTGATGTAAAGTAGGTCTGTAGAAGTAAATTCTGACTGGCATTAAGCAGGGTTGTGTTTTGGCACCATTATTGTTTACTTTTATATAAACAACCTGGCCTTGTCTTTAGATAAACTGACTCACCATTCTCTAAAGCTGGCATATAAACACATCACAGCCTTTCTTTCCAGTATGTTAATAGTACAGCTATACTGTTTCAGATTGTATCGTGGGTGTGAAATGAGCAAACAGGACCTTCTGGTCCTGTTTGTAAAGAGGATGATTTCAACATAAATTGTAATAAGGCCAAAATATATACCTCTCCAAAGCAATTCAAATTGTACCTAGAAGTTGAACCACGTGAATATAGACCATTTAAATATCCAGGTACAGTCTTAAATATCTCCTGCAATCAGCCTACGTATGACTGAATGTTCAGAAGTCAACTCTGGCTATCCAAGTCTTTTGATGTTCCAAAATTGCCCTACATGTAGTGGTGGCAGTAAATTATTTATAGTCCCAGTTGAAATATGGATGATTTATGGAGCTGATAAAGGGACACTTAGTAATATTACAGTTCTGGAGTCCTTGCAATCAAAGTTTTGGGGGAATTAATTCAAAGTGTCATGCTGACTCCCAAATGTATTTCCATATCAATAAGCAGATATAATCCACATCAAGAAGCAATGTAGAAGCTGCAATGTGGGTTTTAAATTATTAGTTTAAGTTATATTTTTCTTGTTGGTTTTATTTTTATATCTTTTAGAAAATAATTTTATTACTAAATGGCTAGGTTATATTATATAAAAACTGAATCAGTATGGATAGTCACAATAAATTCTATTAGCTCTGGGTTATGATCAGATTAATCAGAACTAAGGCACAGAGTTTAGATATATAAGACTAAGCAATTCTAGCACATCTACCAATAGGTTACCTTGCTAATCACACTATTAGTTACAGTGTACCTCGACAGTTAAGTCAAATTTGAATTTCAAAATATAGTAGAACTATATTATCACTTATATATTATCAACACTTATATATTATCAACAGCTATACTGGAAAATCTCATATGAAGATAAGCTTTGCCTATATGGAATAGGTTTATGGAAACCAAAGCTCTATCTTCTTACATTGTATTTTTCATAAGGACATCTAAGCACAATGTATATGCTCATGAAAAAATAGGTTTCATCAGCAGTAAGATTCATTTTGACTTCAAAATCTACTCTTAGATAAGGATGATGTAATTTTATTACATCTCTAAATATTGTCATACTGCTTACACAATCTGTATTAAGAAGACTGCTTAGTAAGAATATTTTTTCTGTACCACATTTTTAGTCATTTACCCAATTTGCTCGTTGACTGATAAGACGAAGAAAGAGGAAGCTTGGTAATTGAAAGAGGAGGCTTGTGAATTGTCAGTTGGAAGATTCAGAGGTAAACCTGAAATCAAAATACATGTATTCCTCAACTTACAACAGTTCAAAGATACAACGGCACTGAAAAAAGTGACTTATGATTGTTTTTCACACAACCTTGTGTGAACATTCCCATGTTCACATCATCAAAATTCAGATGCTTGGCAACTAACTCATATTTATGACAGTTGCAATGTCCCGGGGTCATGTGATCAACATTTGCAACCTTTTGACAAGCAAACTCAATGGGGGAAGCCAGATGCACTTAACAACCACGTTACTAACTTAACAACTGTAGTGATTCATTTAACAACCATGGCAAAAAAAAGTCATAAAAAGGGGCAAAACTCACTTTTTTGTTTTTATTTGATTTATATGCCGCCCTTCTCCGGAGACTCAGGGCGGCTTACAATGCATTAAGCAATAGCCTTCATACTTTTTGTATATTTATATAAAGTCAGCTTATTGCCCCCACAAACTGGGTCCTCAATTTAGCTACCTTAGAAAGGATGGAAGGCTGAGTCAACCTTGAGCCCCGTGAGATTCGAACTTACAGTAATTGCAGACAGCTGGTGTTAATCACAATGCTATCAGTCTGCTGAGCCACCAGACTTAACAAATGTCTCACTTAGCAACAGAAATTTCGTGCTCAATTGTGGTTGTAAGTCAAGGACTACCTTAAGGTAGAAATGCAAAGCAATGAACACAACATGCAGTCGGCCAAGTTCGCCCAAGTTACAACATGGTAAGGAAAAAGAAAGCTAGGAAAAAGAAGGAAACACTGCTTTTAGGGTAAATTGTTCAAACTGAAAAATGAAGTCTGATGGTACATTTATAAAACCTCAGCTAAACCCCTATTGACTCCTCAGGCTATTAGTTCGAGCTGGGCAGATAAACTGCAATGTCATTTCCTAGGTAACTCAAGATTTTCAGCAGCAGATATTACAAAAGGTCTAAATCCCTGCTTGTCCACTACCAGTAATCATAAAAACTTCAAATTGTGTAGAAATCACAAGTCCCGTGTGAGATATCAAAAACACATGACGAAATATGAGGGTTAAGAGTATAAAGGAGAAACTAGTCGCTCATTAACTGTTTCTGTGGTGACTGAGGGATTAGAAACTCTGTTCTTTAGAAACTCTGATGTTGGTCTTCTCCTTTGTCCCTGCCTTTTTTTTTTCCTGTCAGGCATACAAAAATTGAATGAACTTTAACTCTGGTATTCTTCCTTCTACCCCTATGAAATATGTAATGAAGCAGGTAAGCTTCTGTTATCACTGTGTCTGTATCTTGGCAGATTCCTCTGATGCAAAAGGATGTTATTGTTGTTTTGACTCCACTGAGTCTTGAATTGTTCCAGGATAATTTGTGTTCTCTGCAAGAATCCTGCCTAAAGAAGCATAAGGGTGATTTTCTGTTGCCTTATTTCTCTTTATTTGCGATGCTCAATCAAAAGCAACTGAGATTTCAAATTTGCCTGTAAGGAATAGGTGGTTTGTTTGGTTTTTTTGATACTTTCTCTTCTTTATTTATTTTATTTATTTATTTGTCAAGCATATATAAGATAACAGATAAAATATAAACATAATTTGAATACATGAAAAGTGTAATTGTAAAAAGGAATATTAGGGCAGGGACGCACGCTGGTGCACTTATGTATGTCCCTTACAGACCTCTTAAGAATGTTTAAGTTGACAGTTTAAGGTTAAAGTTTTGGGGGTTTGGGGAAGAAACCACAGAGTCAGGTAGTGCATTCCAGGCATTGACCACTCTGTTACTGAAGTCATATTTTCTGCAATTGAGTTTGGAGCGGTTTACCTAATAAACCACTCCAAACTCGATTGATTAGTTGGACTAACTATAATAGTTGAACTAACTATAATTGAGCCATTAATGGTTATTCTGGTGCTATCTCAGGGGGGAAATCCAGCAGGTTCTGACAGGTTCTGGAGAACCAGTAATGGAAATTTTGAACAGTTTGGAGAACTGGCAGATATCACCTCTGGAGTGGGGTGGGAATGGGGATTTTGCAGTATCCTTCCCCTGGAGTGGGGTGAAAATGGAGATTTTGCAGTATCCTTCCCCTGCCATGCCCACCAAGCCACGCCCACAGAACTGGTAGTAAAAAAAATTGGATTTCACCACTGCGCTATCTAGTATATAAGAACATAGCTAGTGCCTTGTTGGATCAGACCCCTGGCTAAACTTGTCCAGTAGTGTGTTCTGATAGTAGCCAACTAACTGCATTAGTTAGTTGCACTGCATTAGTTAGATGGCCTTCAGAGGGAGTCACACTACCATGAAGGCTAACAGCAGTTGACCACCATTGACCTGCCCTTTTCTGAAGCCAGCAAAGCTGGTAGCCAGCATCATATCTTGTAGTATTTATCCTGATTGCTTAAAAATATTTTGGAAGATAAAAAAGAAGAAGAAATAAACTATTTGGCTTTTTAAAAAGTTTTTTGTTATTTTTGGGATGTTGTTGTTTTTTCACATGATGCATGAACCATTCCTTTAAGTTTGAATTTTAGTTCTTCCTTCCTCTCAAAGATTCTCCAACTCCACCTCCTGGTTGCTAGGGAACAGAAAATCCAGTAATTAGTCCAAGTCAGAAAAACACTCAGGAAAAAAAAAACTTTGCAGCCTCATCAAGTACCCAGATAAATCTCCCCAAAATCTCACATTTAACTTCTTCACTTTCCCTTTTTATGACCATTTCCTTGTTTAGCATTCCCTGCCCCAAGCAGTTCTAAACAACAGCAGATTGTCAGCCTTAACTGATTAGTAGGACAAGGACAAGGTGATACATAGGATGGAGGCATGTAGGAGTTTATTGCCTGGAATACATAACTACACAAGTGTTCTGTAAAAATAAAAAAACAAATGGTACTGAAATCAGTCAAACCTGGAGATTTGTAGCAGAAAGTTATCATAGTGTTACCTGGAATTTTAGGCTTTATTATTAATATTTTTAAAAAGATGATACTGGCATTTTAGCATGGTATCCATGCCTCCTTTTGAAGTTTAGAAAATCATGTTTTTTCTTTGATATGTAAAGTCATTTCCTTTGATATGTAAAAAATGAGCCCTTTCAGGGACCATCAATCAAACAATACGGCTATATTCTGAAGTCCCTCAGTGTTGCAATTGTTAAGGAAACAAATCCAGATGGGAAAGAAGGAAATGCAACAATATTTTAAGGGTGTCTGTCTCTTCTCATGTCTAATCAATGACTTTTATTGTTTGATTTGTTGCTTTCTGACACATCACATATATTGAATGTAGCTATACAGGTAGTCTTCGACTTCGACTTGCAGCCATTCATTTAGTGACAGCTCAAAGTTACAACAGCACTGAAAAAGTGACATGACCAGTTTTTCACACTTACGACCATTACAGTATCCCCATGATCACGTGATAAAAATTCACTTGGCAAGTAGTTCAGATTTATGACGGTTGAAATGTCCTGGGTCACGTGATCATCATTTATAACCTTTCCATTTGACTTCGGCAAGCAAAGTCAATGGGGAAAGCTAGATTCCCTTAATGACTGCATGACTCATTTAACAACCACACTGCTTTGCTTAATAACTGTGGCCAAGAAAGGTCATAAAATTGGCCAAACTGTATTTAACAACCGCCTCACTTAACAACAGAAATGTTAGGCTCAATTGCGGTTGTAGGTCGAGGACTATCTATAATTTGTTTCTGTACCTTATATAAAAACTTGATAAAGCCTCCCTCCCCCCCTTAATAAAATGCTTTTTAGTGCAGTACTTGGGGCTTACATTGTCAGGAAGATGGGGAAGCCACTTTCTAAAGGTACTGAGTGCTTCTCCCCCAGATTCAGGGACTAGATTTTTTCCAGCTCCACAACACTCAAGTGCCTGAGTTTTAAGAGCAACGAAAGTGTAACTGTCTCAATAATTTAATAATGCCAAAGACTGAATGTTATACAGTGGATATAGAAAGTTTACATACCCCTATTAAAATGCCAGATTTTTGACATGTAAAAAAAAAAGTCACACCAAAATTAAACACTTCAGAATTCTTTCCATCTTTAAAACAACATACAAGGTGTACAATTCAACTGAAAAAGAAACTGAAAACTAATAGGGGGGAATAACAATAACATAGAATAACTTATGTGGCTGCATAAGTGTTCATTCTTATAAGTAGCAATGCAGCTGTGTTCAGAATTAACCAATCATATTCAAACGATGTTAAATAGTTAAATAGTAACCATGTGCACATCTGTCATCAATTAAAGTGACTCTGATAAGTTCACATAAAGTTCAGCTGTTCTAGAAGGATTTTACTGATATTTACTCAGTTGTCTCTTGCAGCAAAATCTATGGTCTACAAAGAGCTTATATGCTATAAAAGGGATCTCACTGTTGGAAGATATCAGTCAGGAGAAGGGTACAAAAAAATGTACAGGCACTGGATATACCTGTGGTAGCGAACCTTTTACTCACCAAGTGCCGTACAGGCACGCGCTTTGCACACTCAGTGCTGATGCGCAGCTCGTCCCTTGTGTGCTGCACACACAACCGCACCATCTGTGCATGCACACAGCTTTCATGTGTGCCCATGCGCTGCGTGCGCATCCACACCATCTGTGCATGTGTGTGGCTTTTGCGCCACTCCTGTGCGCTGCACATGCAATTGCATCATGTGCATGCGCAGTTTTTGCACACACAATGCACAAGAGCAAATGCCATCTATGCATTTGCGCACTGTGCTCAAGTACTCTTGCACACTTGCACAAATGAGTATGCATGCACAGGAGAGCTCCGAAGACCAGCTGGGTCCCCGTAATTGCACACATATGCACCAGAGGCCCGAACACCAGCTGGGCCGCGCATGCATGCGCAGCTACAGGTAAGTTGGGTGACAGCTCGCGTATCCAGAAAGTTGGGTCTGCGTGCTACCTCAGGCACGCGTGCCATTCGTTCACCATCACAGGGATGTACCATGGAACACAATGAAGACAATAATCAATAAGTGGAGAAAATATGGCAGAGTAGTGACATTACCAAGAACTGGATGTCCCTCCCAAACTCATGAAAACAACAGGAAGAAAACTGGCCCAAGAGTCTGCAGAGTAAGGAACATTACAGAAGCTGCAGGAATTTCTGGCAAGTACTGGTTGTGTACCACATGTCATAACAATCTCCTCTATTTTTATAGGGTTGTGGGGTAGAGTAGCAGGACAGAAAGAAGCCTTTTCTTATAAGGAAAACCCTCCAAGCCCGGCTACCTTTACAAAAGCATTTGGGGAAATGTGTTATGGTCTGATGAGACCAAAGTAGGACTTTTTGGCCATCATTCCAAAAATTATGCCTAGTACAAAAACAAAACTGTGCACCACAAAAGTACACAATACCCACAATGAAGCATGGTGATGGCAATATTATGCTTTGGGGCTACTTTTCTTCAGTTGAAACTGGAACTTAGTCAAAATGAAGGAAATTATGAACTGTTTCAAATATCATTTGGCACAAAACCTTCAGGCATCTGCTGAAATGCTGAAGATGAATTTCACCTTTCAACACGACAATGATCCAAAGCATACCTGCAAATCAACAAAACAATGGCTTCACCAGAAGATCACATTTTTGTAATGGCTGAGTCAGAGCCTGGACCTGAATCTAACTGAAAGTCTGTGTGGTGACCTGAAAAGAGCTGTGCACAGGAGATGTCTTTGAAATCTGAAAGACTTGGAATGCTTTTTCAAGAAAGTGTGACAGTCAATGCCAACAACTTGATGAATTAAAGATCAAGACTCTCAGAAACAAACAAATAAAAAAAAGGAATATAAAGTTGACTTGTTTGACCAAAGGTAAAATAAAAAATACTGCCATAAAATACTGGAAATCCTTTATGTGTGAACTTTTTGCTGACACCTAAACAGAAATGACAATGATTTTTGAATTTCTAAATAGAAGAGAGAGATTATGCGAACAGGAATAATGTTCATAATATTATAAGTAGTGGAAAAATAGTAAAGTTGCTTATATTCATTGTGAAGAACATTTGAGTCACTTCCTTAAATATTCTTTATTTCTTTTCTTTTTTTTTCTCTTTGTATTTCTTTTCTTTATGTTTTTAAATAGAAGTTTGTATTATAGTTTGATATTGTTGATAGCATTAATAAAGTATTTTTTAAAAAAAAGATAAATACGCCCCGGGGTACAACTCAGGCAAAAGCTATAAAGCATCTTCTGATATTAAGCCTTGTGAAATCAGGCTTTTAT